GTACAACCACACCAGCTGTTCAGCTAAACTCAATCTTCTCTGCAAAAACGGACCCAAGGGGAAATCCTGAAAAAAAACCTGGTGGTGTGTAATTATTGTTAAAATTACTGCCACTTTTCACACAGATGAATTACTGGTTTCTAAAGCAGTAGGGAAGTGCAATGTCCCTTTTCACATTGTACACTTTGTGAATGTTGTAGGCATGTGGGTTAGTGTCCCTGTTCCCCCAACTTAGGTAGGCTGGAGGGGATATGAATTTCGTTTGAATGATTCTATTGAGGTTAATTTAGCTCATGTCGAAATGCCCAATGGCGGCACCGGATCAAAACGTAGTGAGACACGAACAAAATATAGGAAATGGAAAATCTATCTGTGCTTCTTTTTGTATCAATCATTGAACCAAATCTTATTGTAAACTCCGATGTAAACACCTATCAGGCATGCAAGTTAACTTCAACTAAAAATAAACTGGAGTATACAGTACTGTTATGTCGATAGCTTCTATACTTATTTTTCCAACATTGACTATATAATAGGCAATTCCAGCTTTTAGTTTATACGTGCAGGGGACGATGGGAAGTAAGGTATCACATTGTTGATTATGCTAAAAAATAGAAATGGTGGCCGTGTAAACATGGAGTGATAGCTTATACTTGTAAATATTGAAATTTTCAGCATAATCAGCACTATGATACCTTACTTCCCATCATCCCCTGCAGGCATAAACTAAAAGCTGGAATTGCCTATTGGTCTCTAATAAGATAAATTGTAAAATACTTAATGTTATATTTATGTAAATCCAAGTTAATGAATTTTCATCTTCATTTATACTACCTAATTTCTCAGTACGTTCTCTAACTTCTCTCCGTGATGTTTTTTTTTTTGCTAAAATTTAATTGTTCTAAGCACGCAAATAAGCTGAAAGATGACGTACTTAAATCAAGGTGATGCTTTTGCCCTGGAATATCGCAAATTTTCCGCTGGGGTGACTTGCAATCTCGCTCAACCAAGATATATCACACACTGAATGCTCCAGCTCGCCTGTTTCAGAGTAGCAAAGTAGGAACAAGGATTTTCGTCGATATTTCCTCCAAAAGGTTAAAAGAACTATTTTACAAAGGCCATGATGAAATGCCACCTGCAGGCATTCATGACCTTCTGGCACTTCTATTTCGGATTTTAATTTCCCTTCCGTTGTGTATACGCTCACAGTTCCCTTCAGTGGTGTATACCAGAACTCTGTGTATACGCTGTGTATACGTCCATCATGAGTTGATCGTACCATAATTTCATCTTTATTAGTAATACCAATGTTGGTTATGCTACATTTATTTTCTTCCAACTTAAACTTAAACTTTCCTCTGTTATCACAGACAAACACTTGGGTATCCCCCTGTTTGATGAAGATTGTGTTTTTGTTTTTGTCTACAGAAATTCGCATACCTTTATATTCTCCGTCATTAAGAAAATCCAATAATGTGTTGTCGTGTTTGATGTTGTAATTCCCATCCAAAACGCAAAGCACAAAAGTTCCCTTGATGCCATTTTCATCACGTGTCTTAAGATATCTTAAAACATAAACATTGTCATCACTATCAACAGTAACTGCTCTTCGCTCTCGTGCAACCACTTTAGTTCCTGAGAGATCGGAAAACATAACATCCTTGCTTTCACCTGAGCAGTAAATAACGGCCATCTTCTTATCATACAGTAGAATAACTTCACCACGGCTATTTACAGCAAAATACCAACCACGGCTATAGGCATCAACATAGGCATCGGCAACAGCATCGTAAATAACATTGGAATACTTAATGGCACGGGTGTGGAAACGTTTTTTGTAATCGGCATGGGGAGCAGCACAGGCACGGGCATAGGCACGGTCATGGGCACGGTTATGGGCACGGACATCGGCACGGGCATGGGCATTGGCATAGGCAACCACATTTGTTGTCTTGTCAGTAACCATTCGGGAAATTTGTTGGCCAAATTTTCCACCAATGGTTGTCTTCTTCACAATTTCATATACGTGTAGAATTGGATGAAACGCGCGATCCTCAAGCTCAATTCCCGGCCAGGTAAATACGTTGGGATATTTACTGCTACACTTGGCAGCGAAATGAAATAAGGCATGGTTGATGAACAACACAGACATTATGTTCTCCAATCGTTCTGCTTTATTTCGCCATGATCTCAATCCTCCATTGAGAAAAACTTTGAACATATCTTGAATTGCTGGTAAACCATGCAGCTCTTCTAGTGCCAACAGGCAGGTAGTAACTGCGATTTCCGGGTCTTCGAGACCAGATTCAAAAATTCTGGCAGCTACACGTATCTTGCAAGCCATAATTCGATCTTTGATGCTCAGCGACTTGTTGTTGAAAGCATCAATTGCTCGCTCCCGGGCCTTTTGGAAGGATTTCTTTGCTTCTTCTAACCGTTTTTCAGACGTGATTTGTAATTTCTGAATCGCTTGAGGAAGTGTTAACACTTGATTTAAACTACTAGACGCACTGTAGGTTGAAATAGCTGTTGCTTCGTCGGGACCTTCGTGGGTTTCTTGATCTTCACTCGGTTGACCAAGAGCGATAATTAAAATGGATAGACCTTCTTTTAGGAAGCTGCGACTGGCATCAAGATCTTTTAGCGACAACGAATCAAGTTTCGTGTTAATCTCTTTCAAATCACGAAGCAGAACTTGACGCAGTTCTTCGTTTGTTAAATCGCCGTCCTTGAGTTTATTTGATGCCCAATCACGAACCTTGTTCAAAATAAAACCGACAATTTCCACTGCTACCAAAATTGAGGCTTTTTCAACAGCCATATTGTGAAAATTGTTCGTGTACTTTCGCTTTACAGTAAGGAATCTGTGGTGGCGTGATCAATAAGCCAATTTTCGATCCCCAAACGCCTAAACCAGTGTGACCAGGTTTTTCAGGCGAATTGACCACATCCGGTTTCATAAATTACTACAGTCGGTCTAAAATTACCACGGTGCCATATTTTTCCCAGTTTTCCATATTTTTTCAAAAAAATGTCATATTTTTTCCAAAAAATGTTGGGGGGGGGGGGGAATTTTTGGACACCAAAATTTTTCCGGAGAACCACCTCTTAAATTAGGGTTTTACATAAATTAGGGTAACATTGTACACGTTGTGAATGTTGTAGGCATGTGGGTTAGTGTCCCTGTTCTCCCAACTTAGGTAGGCTGGAGGGGATATTTGGGAACCTTGAAAATCTTACGATTTGTTGGTGTGTAATTATAGTTAAAATTACTGCCACTTTTCACACAGATGAATTCCTGGTTTCTAAAGCAGTAGGGAAGTGCAATGTCCCTTTTCACATTGTACACGTTGTGAATGTTGTAGGCATGTGGGTTAGTGTCCCTGTTCCCCCAACTTAGGTAGGCTGGAGGGGATATTTCATCGTCAAAACGTTTACCTTGTTGTCTAATTTATAGTTTGGGGATAAATGTTGAGTTTTTTGAAGGCACAAACTGTCAAAGCTGGCAAATGTCGAGGCAAATGTGCAGTTACAAAAACGGTGAAAATCGTGCAGCCTTGCAAACAAAGTATTTTCGCCGGTTTCTCGAAATTTACTCATAAAACATTTTTGCATGCTTTGAACGGGGTAGGGATAAAACGCTGAAACTGAATCGCGGAAACGGAAACTGAAAGCGGAAACTGAAATGGGGATAAAACACTGAAATGGGGATAAAACGCTGAAATGGGAATAAAACGCTGAAATGGGGATAAAACGCTGAAATGGGGATAAAACACTGAAATGGGGATAAAACGCTGAAATGGGGGTAAAACGCTGAAATGGGGGTAAAACCATAGAGATTATAAATAACACTAGAGGAGGCATTGTAATCTTAATTCAGTAAAAAAAAGGGAACGCGACTATTGGGGGGCAAATTCAAGTCCCGGATGTGAATTCGTGTTCCCATTGGTGACGAGTTTCAAATCAGCCAATGAGAGCACGATTCTATATCCGGGACTTGAATTTGCCCCCATTAGCTGCGTTCCCAATTTTTAAACTCGATGCCTCCTCTAGTGTTATTTATAATCTCTATGGGTAAAATGCTGAAATGGGCAAATTTAATCAAATTCGTTGTTTGCTAGACCATTGCGAACACATGTAATTTGCCTATAAAACTGAATAAATATAAGAAAGAAGTTCCCGGTAAAATGACAACCACAAATTTTCGAAGAGCGAATTTTATCTGACAGTTTATCTTTTATTAATAATGTAATCTACAATTCTCTCCATATAACTTCGAACTCAACTTTTTGTGATAGCATACTATCTTGACACTGCCATATGGCTGGTATTTTGGGTGTAAAACCGGTGTCACAGGAATTTCCCGGGAATTGTCAGGACACATGTCTAAATCGGAAAAAACGTTTTTCCTCTCCTGCATTACTGTATACACGCGTAAAAATCATGAACTTGTAGTTGCATGGTAAGAATATTTTCATTCGGTGAAAGATGGAATGTTCCATTCAACTCGGCTGTCGCCTCGCTGAATGGAACATTCCATCTTTCACCTCATGAAAATATTCTTACCATTGCACGAATAAACATTCATTATTTGTATATTGTTGCACCCCATTCAAGATGAATAATATTGTTCAATGTTGTTAACTGTAAAAAACAGGTCAGCATAACATTCTTGCAGCCTGTTGTACAGGCAGTACAGTACAGTACAGTACAGTACAATACAATACAGGCAGTACAGTACAATACATGCAATACAGCAGGCTCAGCGTTTTTGGCCGTGTAGAACCTACACTTCTCTATGACAGGAAACAACGCCCAAAGATGGAAATGGAGAGAATTGTAGATTACATTATTAATAAAAGATAAACTGTCAGATAAAATTCGTTCTTCGAAAATTTGTGCTTGTCATTTTACCGGGACTTCTTTCTTATATTTATTCAGTTTTATAGGCAAAACCTAACCCATTCCCATGATCCAACGCCAGCGACTGGGAACGAGTCAGGGCAAATATAGACTGTAAATTGTCTAAATAATCGTCGAAAACTATGGTTTCAAAAGCGTTGCCTCAAGCTCAAGCAACACAGAAAAATATGAAAAGTAATTGTGTAAGTTTAAAAAGATTACTGAACTTCATTTATATTATATTTTATAATATAGCACTTGTAAATTCTGAACGCTGATTGGCTAAGAGCCGTGTTGATATAACTCCATGTCAACATGGGAAATTTTCCGCCGCTTGTAACACGGAAATTGTTCTTATTCTTCGGGCTTTTGACTTTGCTATATTATAAAACAAATATAAAACATTTTTATATATATAGTTATATCAACACTCGTGGAAGTTGGGAAAACTCGAAATTGTGTGAAAACACGTGTTTCCACACAATTTCTCGTTTTCCCAATTCCCACTCGTGTTGATATAACTGTATATCAACACGGAAAATGTTTTATATTTGTTAAATATCAACACTCGTGGAAGTTGGGAAAACTCGAAATTGTATGAAAACACTCCGCCCAGGCCCGGAGCTACGGGGGGGTGTGGGGGGGGTGACACCCCCCCAGTAATTGTATTTAGTCGGCAGGACTGCTATTCAGTCGGTAGAACTGCTACTTGGGTTAAATATTTTTGGCGCAAAGGGCAAGAACGTGGTGGGAATTTTAGGAAAATTTTGAGGGAAAATGTAAAAATTTTGGAAAAATGTTAAAAAATGTTGAAAATTTGCTATGTGCGAAAAATTTTTGAATGTTCCGGAAAAATTTTGTGCGTCGTGAAAAATTTTTTTGGACCCCTAAAATGGTACACTGACCGAATTTTTTTTGGCGACGGGGGGGGGGAGGTCGCCGAAAAAATTTTGTTCCGGAAAAATTTTTTTGAACCAGTCGGTTGAATTGAATTACACCCCCCCTGAAGAATTTCCTGAGGACGGCCCTGACTCCGCTCTTCGGGCGTCGTGTTTCCATACAATTTCTCGTTTTCCCAATTCCACTCGTGTTGATATAACTGTATATCAACACGGAAAATGTTTTATATTTGTTAAATATTATAAAAAAGTTGAAATATTTATAGAACATACCTTGATCTTTCGGGTTTTGTTTTGGCTTGCACAACAACGTTGAAAATTTATTTTTAAACGATGATTTCTGTATATATTCTGTTCAGAACTGTTGCTTTTCGTAAAAAAGCCCACTAGAATGGGTTTTTAGACACTTTTTTCACTTTTTTTTCCATTTTAAGTCTCGATATAAAATTTTTTGCAAACTTTGCATTTGAAAAAACAATTTGCACTCTCTGCAACCGCGCGAAATTCCCACTGAAATTCCCTGCCGCCTGGGAGTCTGGGAACCAAAATGCCCTTCTAAATCCGCCATTTTGTAGAGACAAATTTTTCACTGAGAAAAGATAGGAGTACGCATTCTATATCTATTATTTCTATGGGATAATAGCGCGTTTTAAATAAACGCGAATAGCGCGTTTGTTTTGTCAACAGTGGTGATTTCCCAAGCTTATTGTTTGTGGTGATACTGAGGTAAAACCCAACATAGACTTTACATAATATATATTCACGTTAAAATGATCACATGCTCTAAGACGTATTTGCTATTCAAGTATTATTATTATATTCACGAATTGCGGTCGTTTCGCCAACGAGTCGTTTCGCCAACTGTCAGTTCGCCAACGTCTCAGGTCGATTCGCCAACGTTCGTCCACGTTCTTATGTCAGTTCGCAAACGTTACATATATATGAGACATGCATGGATATATAAATCTATTAATGTTTGTAGAAAATAACCGAAATAGCAAATTCTCCAGACATTTATGTTTAGACGGTCTAAAACAGATTTAATCAGCGGACGCTAAACAAGGGCTTAAACTCACGAAATGCGAAAGTTCTTATGCATATGATATACCATTCAAGTAAACACAACTGAAAAGTTTTCAAACTGAGAGTCAAACAATACGAATTACGAAGATTAGCCATACTCTTCATTAACAAAATTTCACAATAGAGCTAGTGACGCTTTTGATCACCAACGTTCCAACATATTTTCTACAAACATTGTTTGCGTTTCATGGTTTCACATTATAAAGACGTGAACTATTAAATAACCATGGTTATATTGTAAAATAATTGTAAACCATGGATTGTTTATTTTACAATCCATACGTTGCGTTGGCGAACTGACATAAGAACGTGGACGACCGTTGGCGAATAGACCTGAGACGTTGGCGAACTGACAGTTCGCGAAACGACTTGTTGGCGAAACGACCGGTTACCAGTGAGAATATCTGCTTACAACATCAGTACAACTTCATCGCCGAAAATCCCCGAAGATCATGAAGTGCCCGAGGTGAGAGCGCGATATCTCAGCACATCTTCAGGAATTCTGAGATATATACAGTAACGACAAATGGGGATTTTAATGAATAATTGCACTGTTTTTATTTCTCATTTGTATTGGCCCTCAGTAATCTTGAGATGTCACCTGATACTTGAAATAACCATGCATGCATAAAAGTTTCAAATGTGCATGGTTTGAACTTTGAATTAAACATCTCATACAACATGAATGTATACAATCAATCCAGTCACTAAAGATATCAGTTGCTTTGAAAGTTTTGAATAATAACCAATGCAATGTGAATAATAACCCCCATACGATCTTGATAGTATCATTCTAATCATTAATAATACCATTCTAATCATTGATATACGTCTTGTATTGATGATTCTTTTAAATCACTCATTATTTGGCTAAATTAAGCCATTTTATATCTACACTATAAATAGAAACTGCATGTGAGTCTGTAAGACATGTAACACTGGCAGTTGCTGTATACAAAGTCAAAAAGGCAGCAACATTCTTGAATGCCTTGGGTGCCAAATTGTAAACTTCGTTTGCTGGCGATTAAGCAAAGACAATATGAAAGTGCATATTTCAAAGACTACTGCGCATATGTGCATATAGGTAGTCTGTACCTTGATATAGACTATAGTCGTTGTTTTCTTAAAACGGCAAGCACATTTTCTGAACCAACAATGGCCGACGATCTGTTAAATATGCAATTTCTTGAAAGGTTTGCTGATGATTGAAATCTAAAAAGAGTCAAAATATATTAGTGGAGTCGCAAAGATCTACCAGGATAGCAAGTTACGTACGTTGATTTGCATTTCACAAAACAGCAAAGTGTTTTCAATCTATTTCGGTTGCAACAAAGCAGAATTTCAAAACATGCAGAATAAAGAAAAATTCAAGCCAACCTCTCGAAAATAATCCTTTGTGGTTGTAATATTTTAAACATTGTAGTAGTTCGTCGTTACCGTATTCCGACACTTCGATTGGTTCGTATGAGCCGACAGTGGAAACTCCCTAGAAAATTGAAATATTGACTGGAATGATTTTACTAGAAACTGATTATATGTCATGATAGGGGGAATCATATCAATCTGACAGAGATGATCCATCGTATAGATAAACACAATAACGACAGATGATTCGCCCAGACAAACTTAGACAAAGAAAATATATAATTCGTCTGATTATGACTCTGGTAAGTTGTCTGTGTATATATTATCAGATGAACTGTTTTTCCTTTGCATAAATTCATCCGCACTTTATTATAAATATGGCCATTCTTACAGTAATACTATCAAGGGCTTCCTACCTGCGCCCTTAAAAGTTGAACATGATTATAACTTGAACAAAACGCTCGTTCCATGCCTGTTCTTGATAACGCTAGGACATAACTGCCACGTTCCTGAAAAGCGAGTTAACGGTTCATAATTTGTTATCAGAAATTGAAAATAGCAGAGAGAAAACCAGAAATTTTTAGATAGTATTTTACTATGAGCTGCCGTGGTTGGTATCTGAACTATACCTAAAGTCAGAAGATATCTCACACGCGCGGGAAAAGTCTAGGTAGGCCTATTATATTCCGCCATGATATATGAAATATTTAACAAATATAAAACATTTTCCGTGTTGATATACAGTTATATCAACACGAGTGGAATTGGGAAAACGAGAAACTTCCACGAGTGTTGATATAACTATATATCAATACGGAAAAAATGTTTTGTATTTGTTTTATAATATAGCAATGTCAAAAGCCCGAAGAATAAGAAAAACCAGACACAGTACTAAAATGCGGTGCCCTGCAAAAAACATTTCTGGCGTTTCGCCTACAAGTAAACTTATATAAAATAATACGCTAGATGGGGCCCCTAGATTTCTCCTGTTGGCTAATACATGAAGTTTCTAGTGAGGGAAAAGTGAGCGCGCGAGGTCTGCGAGGACCCACCATCGAATTTCTATCGAATTTCTAAAGCTTTTTCATGTGACGTCTAATGTTACGCTTACATTTGTTTTGGACTTTGGCCACTGTCAGTTCTATATTTTTTATAAAGTTTTGGTTTCTTAGTGTGATAAATCTGTAATAGTCTATATAATGTGGTAAGTGCACCTAGCAGATATGACTTGACAGACTTGATATGAAATCGCACATGTTTAATATCTGTCACCTCTGATTGCCCTTTAACCCCTGGTCTTTGCTACTTCAATCTTTGCTACTTCAATATATATTTATTCTTGTCCTTCTTTTCAGTTCCATTCACAGCTCACTAGTCGCTGCGAGTAATCACTGTGCTTGATATAATTTGCGCTCTCTACTGTGGTTCTATTTGCTTTTGATGCCCGCAGCAATCCCTACCTTGCAGGTACCCTAGTTTAATATTTAGCACGCTACATTCTCCTGTCGGCCGCCAGTTGGTCCGTACGTTAGGGTCGAAACTGCGTTTTAAAGCCTTCAAAATAAAATATTTTGGGCTCAAAATACTATCAAAATGAAGAGAAAAGTGAGACGAATCCACTGGCATACGGCCGAAAACGAGAAAACCCAACAATTCCGAAGTTATCAAGGATCAAACGGACTGCATTTTTAATTAGTTTAGTAATTTTGAGCGATTTGTAAACAATACAATTTCGCTTATTAAAACTGCACATTAAAAGCTTCAAAATATAATATTTTGGGCTCAAACTACTAACAAAATAAAGAGAGAAGTGAGACGAATCCACTGGTATACGGCCGAAAAAGAGAAAACCAACAATACGAAAGTTATCAAGGTCAAAT